CCTTAATTTTGGTTATTATCAGTTATTTAGTCTATTCAGAGGAGAAAGGACACCTATGTCAGAAATACTGAAATTGTCTCCAGTTACAACAAATATTTCTTCTGTAATTCAGATGCCTGTCGATATATATCATTAAAATGGCTAACACAATACATTCATAACAGAGCTGATAGCCATTCAGGACAATTTGAACTATGTTGTCTGTAAATGTGGTGTCAGATGTTGTGGCACACTCAAGAGCTATTGTTTCTTGGAGAACCAGAGTAGTTCTTTTGCTCCAGGAACTTGGCAGAAACATAATATCCCTAATGATCTCACTTACTAGGAAGTCCCTCTACAAACTTGTCAACTGAGATATTTTCTTGGTATGTTGCCACCATGCAAGGGTATGGTTTAATATTTAAGCATCATAGCTTATTAGTATATACAGTTAAGTTTTCATGTATTCTATGACATCTGGTACCAGACCATCCAAACTAAGCAGACTGTGATGTATTATTTGTTCCTGAGTCTATCAATTCTGTGAAACTACCTAACCAAACCACTTAAAGAAGCTATTTGTTTATACATAGTATATACCTAAAAATAAAACATAAAAAGTTTGATCTAAGAGGATTTATCATGGAATCAGATATAATAAATTTCAAGTGGAGGCCATTTAATGTCTCTTCCATTAATGAAAATTGATCAAGTGATTCACTTAAGTATAACCCAGCTATGTATATTTCTATATTAATCCTTAGATTAACGTTTAGCAGAGCAATCACTAACTAAATTCTAGTGTAAATTACTACATTCCTAAACTTTTGACAGATTGAAAACCTAAATATTTTTTCTAATATTTACATCAAACAATATATTCAATTAATTAAAATACAAATGTGTGAGAGATTGACACTGAAACTTATATCTCCATAAATGTTTTCAGTATAGCACAAAAGATATATTTATTGATATAATTTTCCATATAAAAGTCATGTTATTTAAATAAATTAACAACTGAATAACATATCACATAGTGTAGCCTGAGAATTGGCTCAATTTTATTTGGTCAGCAGGCTGGGTTTCATTCTCAACATTATTTTTTTCTAGATTTATTATGACTTGATAGATGTTGAATCAAGTTGAGTCATTGAAAACTTTCAAACTGTTAAAAAAAAAAGGTAGCAAAAATGAAAGTATTTAAATTTTGGTGCATGGTGGATTCAACATTTTTGATACACAAT